TTTAAGCCCATTAAATAGTGGCAAAACCATCTTTTCTAAAGCCCACTCGAGGGTGGCAAAACCTGCATTTTAGCCTACTTGCGAGTAGCAAACCATCTTCAAAATGAACATGCAATGTTTTGTTCCAGTTTAGGCGATCTAGTCTATACTTGTTTGCTGTGCGCATAACATAGTAATTCTAGGCTAATAACCGGAATAAGAACACATAACGTTTTCAAAAACGGATATCACGGTTAGTAGAGGCCGATCTTCGGATCAGGCGAGAGGGGGTGCTTATAGCTGACCTTCCCCAATCGTACCTGTACGGGGAGCAAATATTCCGGCGTGCCCGTATTCCTTTCTTCCATGCTCCGTCGATGTCCGATCACCTGCGAGCAAGTAATGGTGAGCTACCCGGCGGTGTGTGGCCGGAAAAACCCTCCGACGGTCAAGTTAGCACACACCTTAGGATGGATAGAGAGAAGGGAGAGAGTGTTTGAGTGTAAGAAATCCTTACAGATGTGTTAGTCCGTCCAGTATGGGGGGCGCAGGCATGCTTTTATACCTTCTGAGCCCCATATCCACTCCCAGTCATCTCCTGACACGTGGTTCTGCTATCCCATCTGTCAGCATAAACCATACCATTCACCACCTAACCTCAACTGCTTGACTTCACAGGTGGAGCTCGGTAGCTGAGCTGTTCTATCTCGGCCATGTCATGCTTCAAACCCATGCGCCTAGCCGGACAAACACATGAAAGACCGGGCTAGGCGGCATCTCGGCAAAGCCTAGCCCGGGCTCCTCCTTCGGTTGGCCTTCTCGCCGGTCAAACAACTACCTCGGCTGACCGCGCCTTTCCGGGCGCCGGTCTCTCAGTCTGTCTGGTTTCGACCATCCTCAGACCGAGCATCCTGGTCTGACCGGTCACTTCCTGGCCGAGCAGCTTCCGTACGGTCCGGGGCGGCACACATTCAGCCCAAACTCTGCCCGGCCCAGGTTCTGGTAGCCCATCTCTGGGTGAACAGTCGATCATCTCGGCCCAATGCACTGCTGGGCTCTCAACTTGCTCGGTTGATACCTCGGCCCAACACCGGATCATAAATCACCCTCTCAGTACCCAAGCTCCTGAGCCGAGGCAACTTTGGTGATGACGGACACATGGCCTTTGGCACCGAGTCAGGATTTCCTAAATTCCCCTATAAAAAATATTTAGGTGGCGACTCTATATCTGGCAAAGCAGTCCATGCAAATCTGTTTTTCTCAAAACAATTTGCCGGATTTGGACTCTTTGGTTCAGATTTAGAACCGTGACAATTTGAGAGTCCGAACTGTAGTGAACCCAAAACCAACAGAACGGGACTCGTCCTCCTGGGGTGTTCGGGGACATCCACAACATGCACCATAATTATGTATACAACATACTATAATAGAACAAGAATAGATTTATTGTTACTTTAGAGTTGTTGAGCCACAAAGGTGCTTTCTCTCCCTCTCTCTTTTCTATCTCTTGCTCTCTCTTCCTCTCTCACGTTTCTACTGCTGCTGCTGCTATAGTGTTGTTCGGAACCCTAGGGTTGTTATATATATATATATATATATATCTAAACGAAACTCTAAATAAGTATCGTTTGTTTATATTATTTTTTTTCCTCTCACCATTAATTTAAATAAAATATAACTATTATTATATCAAAATATACTTACTAACTTGTCCCTATTTTTTTCTTTTAAATAAAAAAATCTTACCTCCAAATTAAAGACTTTTATCATAAATTTATTTTAGGTTTAAAATTACTTAAAAGACCCTCCAGATATTTAATTTGCACTTTAGGATTCACCATCAAAATATTTGAGATTGTAAAATTATTATTATTTAATTACTTACTTGATTTGTATATTCGGGTTCTCACACACTCCAAGACCACCACATAATTTTTCCATGGGCATGTTAGTAAGGTTGTTAAAATCAAAATATTATGTGAGATATTGTTGGGAGGACTCATAGATCGGATTGTAAAATTGAATTGAACATTATAAGATTTTCCTTTCAATATAATAATGTTTGTTACATTAAGACATTGGCTAATTATTTTTTCACATTCAACATCAAATGGCCGAGGAAAATGTTATTGATTATAATGTAGGAGAGGCCACCCTTTGCACTATTCTATATACAATCTATTAAAAGATTTATGCATATACACTATTCTATATACAATCTATTAAAAGATTTAGGCATATACATTTGTAATTATGTATTAACTAGTGAAGGACCACCCCTCTCTTCAGATGATGCATTAGCACTTAACCACTATGATTTCAATTTGGTTATGTAATTTCGTAATATGAATGTCAAAATCAATTTTTATTTTTTTAGAAAAAAAATGAAAAACATTCCCTAACATTGCTACAATCAGGAGGTCCTGCACATATTACTAAATATTTTACAATCCTGAGGTGAGGGCTACTTCATACTGAGTGGTAAAATTGTCTGATAAAACAAACAGGACCTCTAACATATGAAATCGTACACAAAAATAGAGGGAAAATAAAGAATATGTAAGGAATCCATCAAATCCAGATTGAATAACAAAGCACTTGATTCTAATCTCTTTGTGAGTGGAACATAGACTCTAGGCTTAAAGGAAAGAGCTTACAGTACTATTTATTCAAAGGATTGAAAACTTTGTCGAACCAGCATGCAAGTCTCAGTAGTCTTTATTTAGGTGATTTGAACGAGGTTCTTCTTGAGCAGTTTTGGGGAAATAATTACATTTGTTAGTTACCAACAAAGCTCATACATTTACATTTCTCAGTAATCCTCCAAACAAAGCCTGCTGGTTTTAACCAATATATGATAGGAGTGTAGTAGCGTGTCTGTTTTTCATTAACCATGCAAAAAGTTGTAAGACCAAAAACAAACATGATCAATTGAATATTTATATTAATCTGTCTCAGGTTGTGCTGTGGTTTAGCAACCAACAAAGCATAAGAAGGAGAAATAACATTATTGTATGTTACAGTAAATATGCAAAATGGAATTTGCAATACAAAACCAAAAGATCGAATTAACCTAAATTTGATAATATAAAACGAATGCACTAGTCCTTTTGTATCGACTTCTGTTTAATAAATTACAAGTTGCCAAAGAACCCAGAATCGAATTCACAATACAATCAAGAGCCCTACACCTGATGATGACTTGCACTCTTAATATAAATATTAAGAAATGCAAAACAAGTAAAATCCGACAATAAATTAAAGAGAAACCAGAGTCTTTGAGTGATGAGTTTGCATCTGTTGATGAGCATAGCTAGAGCCTGGAACATTAATTTGATCAGAAAAATATGCATTTAGCTCTGATATATTGAAAAAGAAAAATTGTCAGAGCATATTCACTGCAATATATACTTACTGTCATTGTCCAAATTCAAAGATTATGTACAGCCAACAAGCAGGGTTGTGCAAGGTTTCCCCGCCTAGGACGGGTTTCTAGCAAGCTCCTCTACTAAATCAAATGAAAAGAAAATGCAATATGCAATACCGTATCTGGCTTTCAAAGTTCGTCTTACCTGTTTTATCCTCCTAGATGGTTAGTGAAACTGATTAGAAATGCTTTGTAGAATGGAATTTAAGAATCAATTTATTGCTGGACCTACAAAAGAAATATGATTCGGCCTAGTTTAGTTTTCTTATACTAAAAAAAGTGGAGGAAAAAAAAATCACCACAAAAGCAAATAGAACAAAATATTCAATAATCTCAGATTTTTAACATAAGATATCAGATGTTAAAAGGGCTATGGCTATGGCTTGCTTAAGTGTAAGGCAAACTTTGAGACACTTCCTAAAGAGACAAACTGATTTCTCAAATGTGTACAAACTTTAATGCTTCTTGTGTGAAGTAGGCAAGACCAAGCACTTCAAACTAAGACCCAAGACTAAGCTCCACAGATTTCAGAATTGAAGCCATCAATTATGCAATTTTCATATGTTTTGTCGGCTCCCAATTGAAATGGGAAGATAAGAATAATTTGGTAACACAAATATTAGATTCCGAAACAAACTGAATTGGGGAGAGGGGGGACATTAAACCTGTTGTCTATATTGTAATAGAATTTTCAGCTTTTAATATTTCTCTTCGCCTGATTTCTTGTAATTTGGATGAGATGCCAGTTATGAACATTAGATTATCAGCCTGCTTTTTGTCAAAAGGAGATAAGAAGATCAAATGTGTGTGGGAGCAAGCGCGCGCGTGCGTGTGTGTGTGTGTGTGTGTGTGAGAGAGAGAGAGAGAGAGAGAGAGAGCAAGAGTGAGGAGAATATCACCTGCAAATCTTTGGCCACACTTGATCTATGTAACCGTAAACTAGACACAATTATTCTTTGACTTCACATGTAAGATAATCTGTACATGAATACACGTTTCTAGATGAGTTAGAGATGACTTGATGGGGTTATTTAACTCGTACATGAACCAAACTTGATTTGGAGATGAAAGAAGAAAAGGCAACAAAATGTTATATATAATTTGTTAGATGCTCCAAGTAACAGATCACATATTTAAGAAAATAACATATATATCCAATTTGTAGAAAAATGCAAGCATTAACAGATAAATTGAAATTCAATCATACGATCTGAACTCCAAACAAGAACTACATACATGATTCAATCATCCAAGTGGACTGTTGTTGCAACTTCATCTTAGATTAATTGGCTCTTGCTCAAACAACCTCAGCTGCATATGCAACAAATCAAATATAACTGACCAAAGTGTTATAATCGGAAATGTCAGTTATGAACATTAGGTTATCAGCCTGCTTTTTATCTTCTCTTGTCTATATTGTAATAGAATTTTCAGCTTTTAATATTTCTCTTCGCCTGATTTCTTGTAATTTAGATGAGATGACAGTTATGAACATTAGGTTATCAGCCTGCTTTTTGTCAAAAGGAGATAAAAAGATCAAATGTGTGTAGGAGCAAGCATGTGTGTGTGTGTGCGTGTGTGTGTGTGTGCACGTGAGTGTGTGTGTGTGTGTGTGTGTGTGTGTGTGTGAGAGAGAGAGAGAGAAAGAGAAAGGAGAATACCACCTGCAAATCTTTGGCTGCACTTGATCTTTGTAACCCTAAACTAGACAGAATTATTCTTTGACTTTACATGCAAAATAATCTGTACATGAATACACGTTTCCAGATGAGTTAGAGATGACTTGATGGGGTTATTTAACTCGTACACCAAACTTGATTTGGAGATGAGAAAAAAAGAAGAAAAGGCAACAAAATGCTATATGTAATTTGTTAGATGCTCCAAATAATGGATCACATATTGAAGAAACTAACATATATAGCCAATTTGCAGAAAAAGGCAGGCATTAACAGATAAATTGAAATTGAATCATACGATATGAACTCCAAACAAGAACTACATACATGATTCAATCATCCAAGTGGACTGTTGTTGCAACCTCATCTTAGATTAATTGGCTCATGCTCAAACTACCTCTGCTGCACATGCAACAAATCAATATGACTGACCAAAGTGTTATAATCGGAAATGTCAACTCAACTCAGGTGACTTTTGCATACTCTAAGTTACGTCAAGCACTATGGCTTTTAGAATTAGTGATATACAAAATAGCATGGAAACCCCGTGTTTAAGGACATGCTATGTAAAGCTATATGCAACTTTTAGTGGCTTAATTGGGCATAGCTCAGTTAAAAGCAATGCTCCCAGGAACCCACAGTTGGGGCACCATCTCATTGTGAGTTTTAGATCATTTAGCTTCATAACCTGAAATGAGATTATTTAAAATTGGAACATCACAAAAGCATTAGTTCAAAATGGAAACATGTCATTTCATCAAAGCCCATGGATGATTTTTTAGGATGGATACAAAATTCTCAAATTTCAGGAATATTCTAATCAAACCTATGTATGTTTTTTTAGGATGGATACAAAATCCATAAAATTAAATTTTGATTAACACTAAAAATTGGCCTTTTGAATTGGAAGCAGGTAACATCATAATTCCCATGTTCTGATAACAAAGTTGACTAAAATATAAATAGGAAGTCATTTTTCACATCCCATTTTCGGAAAATTAGCTCATTCAATTCATGTCTTTGTAAATAACAACATAAAACCAACATTTACGCCATGAAGATGGAGGCAATGCATCGCATGCCTTCCTAGTTTTTTTTTTAATTTTTTATTTGTTTTTTTGTTAGCTATAGAAAATCAAAATTTGACTTAAAGCTAAGCAGGAAAGCATTTTGAAGACCGGTTGATCATTGAAATTATTTAGTTTTTCACCTGACGAGAATCTGCAACTGACAAGTGGAACTATTAAGCTTGAAAATTACAAAATAAATAACTCAAATGACTAATAACATTCAAGGAACAACCTACAAAGTTTGCATAAGATTGCTCTGATTCTTCAAAATCATGTGCATTAACGATTACCTCTTCTCCCTACATTGATTATTAACGGACTGCACTTATTGATTGTACTGCTGGCAGGCAATAAATCCACCATTTACACTTGAAGAAAAACTGGAACTCCTCCTTGTAGAAGAGATCCGGTAACATAGCAATTTGTGGGAGCACAGAAAGATTAATAAACCTGGAAATATACATATATATATATATATAAAAGTTTCAAAGAAAAAAAAAACCTTACAAACTATTACATACTCATGATTTGGCAAAGTGTACCCTAGAGACTAGATAAAAATGTATAATAATACATATAAAAAAGCTAGATTAAAACTGATGGACTTTAGAGAGAGAGAGAGAGAGAGAGAGAGAGAAAGAAAGAGAGAAATTACATAATTGGCAGTAGACTATTTGATGTTTCACCTTGAAGAAGAAGATTCATCATTTGTAGAGTTAGGTTCATCATTCAAGAAATGCCTCGTGACCTGAAACCCAAAATGGGGTAGTAAGATAAAGGAAGCGAGCAGACAATATTGGGAAGGTGGGGGATGGGATGGGGGTGAGAAGAGAAGATAAAAGAAGAAATCATGAATATGGATCACAATTGGAGAAATGTACAATTTACCTTTAAATCTTCACCATGCGGATTTTTGGAATATGGGCAATCTTGTGCCGTTCTTGGCCGCTGTCCCATGCACATCTTTCATATAGAAGGGGACAATTATATATTGTCAAATAGTGTAAATTGGTGAGGCGTTGCATTGCTTCCATGGTGGGAAGATTCATTAGATCCATGCAGCACACGAGCTCCAAAGAATAAAGAGATGAAAGGTTACCCAGCCACTCCGGCAGAGCTTCCATTCCATGAATATTAGACAATGACAAGTGTCTCAAGGTAGTGAGGTGCTGAAGTTGATCAGGCAGATACTTGAGCTTTTTCCAGCCATGTAGAGTCAGAGACACCAAGGAGATGAAGGGGTAGTGTTTGGGGTTTGGGTGATATTTGGTATCATCATCATCAACCTTTTCAGATGCTGCACTTACGGTGGTGGAAGGCCAGGGGAAATATTCGAGCTCTTCTGAGAAGCGACCTATGTCCAATGTTTGAAGGCTGGTCAGGCAAAATAGCCTCTTATCCCACCAACCCACTAGTCTTGGACATTCGCAAATCTGCAATTTCTGAAGGGATGGGAGGCGGCATAATTCATCTGGATCGGCAATTATTAAATTCGGACACCCATTTATCACTAATGTTATAAGGGTTTGTTGTAACAGCCTCTTTGGTAAACATGTCAAATTTGTGCACGATAAAATACAAAGCCGCTGAAGGGATGTTAAGCCGCTGCAATTGGACGTTTCTTCTTCTGTTTCTTCAATTATTAATTTCCGACATTCTTCTATCTCTAATGTGACAAGGGTTTGTTGTAGCAGCCCCTTTGGTAAACATGTCAATTCTTCGCAATGTGAAATCCGAAGCCGCTGAAGAGATGTTAAGCCGCTGCAATTGGACGCTTCTTCTTCTTCTATTTCTTCAATTATACATCTTAGATTTGGGCAATTAGCTATCGTTAAGTCCCCAAGAGACGCAAGGTTTTGGAAGTTATTTGGCAAATAACATAGCTCTTCCAAGTTACATAATGTCAGCTTGTTAGGATTTTGCCACTTTTTTCCAACAAATCTACTAACTTCAATCTCCAATTTGAAACAATCGTACACCTCTATTCTCTTATCCGAAGAGCAACGCTCATCCGGATGAAATCTATATGGAACTTGACCAATAATCAATTCCTGTGAGGATAACAAATGACTTGGAATTGTAGTCAACTCAGGGCAATTTCTAATAAATAGCCACTCAAGCAAAGGAAAGAAAATGGTGTCCGAGGACGATGATGATACCCTAAGCCCAGACCATTCTTCTATGTCTAGCATATCATCTAGATAAAGTTCTCTTAGTGCTGGAAATACAACGATTGGTGCTTTTGTTGCTGTTGCCGTTGTTGCTGCCCCACTACAGCTACCAGAGATGAAGCCATGATTATCATGATCATGATTGACAACACTGTGACAACCATAGAACTCAGGACCAATACGTTTCAGATTTCTTAATCCAAACATTCTAATAACCTCAAGATGTGGAAGATTTCCGAGTGGTGGGACTTGCTCACATCTTGTGCACTCGGATATTTCTATCTTAACCAAATTTTGAAGCAATTGCGCATCTCTACCACTCATCATCCATGATGCAAAACTTTGTCCTTCAAATTTCTTAAGTTTGAAAACCTTAAGGTTCCCATGAGGTTTAAGTCCTTCCAACACATCCTGGTGGTTAATTCTAATAGTGTCTTCTGCTGTTGAAGGACTATCCCAACAAAATCCCAATTCATGAATGTTTGGCTTTCCTGATATATTTGCCTTTTCTGCTTCTTCCCTGCCTTTCACCCGTTCAAGATTGTAAATCATTAACTTACCTCTTAGTTTACTTAAGCTACCCAGCTCTTCAATTTTATGGCCCTTATCCTCACCCACAACAAAATATGGTAATGTTTGCAAAGCAGTCAACTTCCCTATCATCATTGGCATCAATTTCCTATTCTCTTCTACATCATAATCATCAATATAAAAATGTCTCAAGCTAACCAACTTACAGAATTTTTCTGGAAGCATTTGCAAATGTTTGAAAGATGGAAGTCTCAAGGTTTGCAAATTGTAAAGCTTGGTGATAAAACTAGGTAGGGTTCTAATTTTTGACCTTGAGAGGTCAAGATACCTCAAATGTATGAACATACGGATGGAACTTCGCAACTCTTTCATATCATATCGTTCCAAACTCAGGGCACGTATACACTTAACTTTTGCAATGTTTATAGGAAGATTTTCAGTTAAAAATAGTGTCCTTAGTTTTCCAACATTTTCTTTTGGAATTTCGAAACTTGTTCTTCCCATTAAATCCAATGACAAATGTTGAAGCTCAGAATTATAATTCACCTCACTAGCTATAGAAGTCGAAGTCAAAGTCAAACAGCTACCCTCTGAGACATTTATTGCCAGATCATGCACAAGATCGTGCATTTTGCAACAGGTAATATTATTGTACTCATCCAATTTAACATCTTGAAACAAAGAATTGTGCAACAAAATATTAAAATAATCATTACCAACATCTTCCATTTCCAAATTGGTTCCCGAAGAAGGCTGAAGATATCCTTGACCCATCCAAAGTTGAATGAACTCATTCCTTTGAATGTTAAAATCTTTTGGAAAAATAGAACAATATGCAAAACAGTGTTTCAATGATGATGGTAAGTGATCAAAACTTAGCCTTATATTGGTTGGATTCCATTTTTTATTTCAGGTGAACTCCATATTTCACTATTTTCGATTGACACCCATTCATCTTCATTTTTCTTACATTAAACCTCCTAGTGTCTTTATTGCCAATGGCACACCCTTACACTTTTTCACCATTTTTCCACCAATGTCCACCAACTTCTGAGTCTCTGTTGGTCCTCCATTAGCAAATGCTCTTTTCCTAAACATGGTCCAACTATCATTTTCTGATAGTTGGTTCAAATGATGAGTGAGAGAGGGAGACGTCCTCATGGTTGATACCACATCCATACTACGGGTTGTAGCCATAATTTTACTTCCCTTGGAACCACCTATCCCTAGCAAAGAATCTCTCATGCGCACCCATTTGTCTTGATTTTCATTCCACACATCGTCTAGCACGAGCAAATACTTTTTTCCATTTAGTTTTTCTCCAAGCTTTTTCACTATTCCTTGAACATTTTGTGTTTCACACTTATTCCCAGTGAGACACTCAACCATCTCATTCAATAGCCCTTCAACTTTGAAATCATCAGAGACACAAATCCACATTCTCTGCTCACCAAAAGTCTTCACCACCTCATCATGTTTGTAAACTAGTTGAGCAAGGGTTGTCTTACCCGCCCCACCCATTCCTACAATGGCAATGACAGGTAAATCATCTACAGTGTTGTCAGAGCCAAGCATCATGTCTATCACTGTTGACACATCACCATCCCTTCCCACAACTTGTTTATCATCTACAAAGGGGATAGTCAGCCTGAAATTGACTTCTCTAGGTTCAACACTAGTACTAGCATTTAAGATCTGATCAGCTGGTCTAAGACCGATGCCTTCTGCATCTTTCTTAAGATTGTCTAATAACAAATTGATATTCTTGACCTTATTAGCCATCTTGAAACGAAATGGCAGTGGATTTGAGAGGCAGAAGAAGAAGAACTTGCATACCTTGTTGTTCCTCATGAATCGGTTTTGTACCTCTAACTTTCGTCGAAGGACTTCAAAGGCAAGTTCATCCAGCACGTCATCAGCACTGCACACAACAGAGTTGAGTTTCTTCAGCCAAACTTGCATTGTTTTTAGATTTACTCGTCCTCGGTGGTTCTCAGCATCACATAACAGAGCTTGTGTCAATTTCAACCTGTCTTCAAGCCTTTGAAGGTCATCCTTGAAACCCCAAGCCAGTTTGATCTGTTCAGTTGCTAGTGGAATCAAGGGATTCAGGATCCCCTGAGCAGCAGAGATGAGAACAGACGCTGACATCTTTGATCTTTCTTTTCCTTGTGATTCCAAAAGAAACTTGAATGGATGGTGATGGATTGAACAGAGAGAAAATGCTTAATTGGAAACAATTAGAGAATACAAACACAAATACAAAGAGAGATATTTGTCTGCTGTTGGGGCTGTGCCTTTACTGGAGAGGAGGGAGAAAGTATTATATAGTAGTGGAATTGGAAGGTGTATTATATTGGAAAGCATCAAGCTTGGCATTTGTCTCTTGCTTTTTAGTCAAGGATTAAATGTTTCCTTCCAACTCTTTTATTCTTTTGAGGTTGGAGTATTTGTCAAGTAGCTGCAACCTGCAGGGGTTGGGTTTCTTGCCCAAAATAAGGATTGATACTTTTTGTTCATGGGGCTGTTTCCCTACTGCGTGTGCATGGTAAGGGTTCATTCCTTGTGAATGTATATTTACAAATGATGACTTGCGAAATATTATTAGATCACACAGGCAATGCGACATAATATTTCTGGAGTATTTATTAAATTTGTGTACTGGACTGATGAGACTGCTGACAAAAATTCACACCATTTAAGAATTTTTTTTTTTTTTTTTTTTTACTTTTTTTTTTTTTTTTTTGTTACACATAAAGAGGAAATTAATGAGTTCTAGATTATCAAGCTTGAATTGAAAAAAAAAAAAAAAAAAAAAGCTTGAACAAAAAGACATCAACAACTTTAATATTATCTTTGAACTCTTTGCAATGTAAGTTATGACTAGATTTGATGCAGCATTGAACTGCAATCCAAGAATCAAAACTTTTCGTGGGGCTGAGGATTGTATTTTGCTTTATCTTCACAGGCACATCTCTTTCAATTCGTTTACCTTCGCCCTGTGCCAATGATTCTTCTAGCTGATGGGGGTGAAGGGTGGGAAAAGAAAATAATTGGTGATCCGAGATCACCATTATGGTTGGCCAACTCAGTTAAAGTAGAGCCCAAAATCTCACATTCTCCCTTTGTGAGAATGGAGTCCTGACCAAGTGAGATCTCGAGTCATACTTTAAGTGAGTCAACCAATCTTAATTACTCAAAACCATTAATAACATGGCAGTCTCAAACCACCAAAAACCGATTGAATTTCAGTCTATCGTATTCAGTTGAATGAAGCTGGTATTAAGATAGATTAGGCACATAATCAACCAAATCTAAGTTGCCTAAGAGCCCTTACACTTTAATAGGAAGTTGAGGGGTTTAATTTCATATCCCTGTATGTTTTGGAGTCTTTCCCTTTTTTTCATATTTGTACAGAGTTAAAATATTGCATAAATTATACTAATTTCTACTAAATAATGAAAAAAACTGTAGTTAATGTCACACTACTAGCATTTTTATATAAAAATACTCTTTTGAAATATAAACGTAACAATATGTTGACTCATACTGGTAGGCATTTCTTAGTCAAATGAATTGAAAATGATGTTATTATTATTTAGGAAAATGATATATAAAAATTGATACCAATCATCTTTTTGCCACGTCACTAAGTCTAAAAAGCGAGTCTAACTTTTGTACCTGAATAGTGATACCTATCATTTATTAGACTTAACATTTATTTGACCTTTTATATCCAAACACTCATATTTCATATTTTAATAATACACACAGTTGAAAGAATAAAGATAATGTTACACCTTTTTGTGGTAACATTACGCATAATTTTTATCGAAATATTTTTGATTCACAAATTATTGTGACCACAAATTTTATGATAATGTTACACATTTTCATTATGAGTCACAATTACTCTATTATAAGATTACATAACATGGAACATATAGTACACACCCCTTAAAGTATAAAAGAGATTTCCATTGAAATTACATGCTTTTGAATTGCATCCTGAATTGCTTTCCCAAATTCAAACTAAAAGTATTTTCTCCTTTATACACACATGGAGAAACAATACTGCAACAATAATCATATTTTTATACCATATTAGCTGACATGTGTGGTAATTACTTATTATAATTACATTGGTTTAATAGGTCTCACAATTTACACGGTAACATGATAAATTAAATATGGTATAAAATTATAATCAATGTAACAACATTCAAGGAAACTGATGAGTTCTAAAAAGCTTGGACAAGAAGACATCATCAACTTTAATATTTGATCTTTTAAACTCTTTGCACGAAAGAAAGTTCATGTAAGTAATTGCCTTGATTTGATTTAATTCAAGAATCAGAACTTTGCGTGAGGTTGGGGGTGAGAACTCTATTTTGCTTTAGATTTAAAAGCAATAAAAGGTTTTTTAAGCAAATGGAATAATCTTTCGCAACCCTTTCAATTCGCATAACTTTGGCGTGTTCTAATGATTCTAGCTGATGCTGATGTGGGTGCAGGTGGAGGAGAAATTTTCGGTACTCAATTATGATCGTATGTCATTCTTTTCTCTTATCAGGGCATTATGGTTAAGTCCAGATTCTCTGCATCTGGTTCTTCTCTCTCCTCTTTTTCCTTCTTTTTTTTTTTCAAGTCTGCCCCCAAAACGCCCCCAAAACAATGTCGTTTTGGAGGCACTACAGAAGCCCCACAAGAAACCACTACAAAGATCTGGACTCGTATATGTCATGTGAGTGAACCAAATGAGAGATCAGTGTCAATTTCAAAACCTTAAGGGAGGATTTTATAATTATAAAAAATATAAGTGGAGGTCAATATAGTTTGCCCCACTTTCTAGCCTACTATTGCAATTGCATAGAATATTGCTGATTCCAGTCTGCTCATTCATTTAAGACGCGAAATTGGAATCTGTTTCATTTTATTTGTTCAATCGTTGATTGAACAAATAAAATGAATTTCAAAATACCACCACCAAAAGAATTATACATAATTTGACAATAGAAAGCAAATGCACAATTACATTCAAGAGCCCTCCACCAGATGACACTCTAATATAAATATTTACAAATGTACAATACATAAAAGCCAGCCATAGCCGAAAGAGAAACCTCAAAATTCAAATCTTTGAAATTTGAATGATGGATTTGCTCCAGCCTCCTGTTGATGATGCACTACAATGAATAATAGAATTTGATGTCTCAAATCACAGCAACAAGTAGATATCTAAAGCCTGTAACAAGAATTTGATCAGAAAAAATGCAGTTAGCTTTGATACATCGAAAAGGAAAATGGTCAGCGCATATATGTTCACAACAATTTATACTTACTGTCTTGTCCAAATTCAAAGATTACGTATAGTCAGCAAGGTTGTGCATGGATTCCCCACATAGGATGGGTTTTCTTGCAAGCTCCTTTAGCAGATCAAATGAAAAGAAAATGCAATCTGCAATACCATGTCTGCCTTCTTGGAGTTTGTCTTGCATATTTTATCCTTCTAAATAGTTAGTCCAACTGATTAGGATTTGTAGAATGGAAATTTTAAAAATCAACCTATTGCTGGACCTACAAAAAAAATATAATTTGGACTAATAGTTTTCTTATATTAAAAAAATTAAAGGAAAAGAAAAACAAAAAATCACAACAAAAGCAAGTAATACAACATAATCAATAATTCATGGCTTTTAAAATAAGATGTAAGATGTTAAAAAGGGCTATGGCTCCCTGAAGTGTAAGACACAAGCTGATTTATAAATGTCTGCAAACTTTGATGCTTCTTGCATGAAGTACCCTAGACCAGGAACTTTAAACTAACAACCTGTAGTGGCCTAGGTCAAGACCCAACCCTTTTTTGCCTTTTCGGCTGGAACACGGGGTTGTCCCGGTTGACTTTGACCTTAACTTGTTGAGTTTGGACCTTGGAATGCTTTGGACCTTGGAATGCTTTAGGCTAGCTTCGGAGCAGCAACTCAGCAATTATGACCTTGCCTGCTCGTGTCCATGATTGTTGAGAGTCGCGCCCGCTATGGCCACGATCAGGCCACGAGCAAAAACCACCTTTAGGTCTGTTGGCCTGGAGGAGTTGCGTTGCCCGTGTTGGCTCGCGATGGATGGCTGCGACCAGCATGGTCGTGCCCGTGAATGTGTGGACCACGGCCGCGATTGTGTGATTCGCGCCCGCAAAGCGTTAGACCGTGCCAGCGATGGTGTTTCTATATAAGACTGTGTGTGCGTCAAAAAGTCACTTTTCAGATATTTTCTCTCCTTTCTCTCCCTTGTTCGCCATAACTGAGCTTTCAAGCGGTTCTATCTTGGGTTTCATCTATTCCTAACCATTTTTTACCCTAGTTTCTTATACCAAAACTTAGAGCTCGGCGAAGGCTTTCATTTAATCTAAGCGGATCGTGCTTTCGTCGCCATTGGATTTTTGGCTTTCATCCTCTTCGCTTCAAGAGGTAAGGATTTCTTTACTCCTTTTCAATTATAGATAGATGTGGTAATTTTTATTACATTAAAAGCATGATTTTTGATGTGTGATTTTATAAAGCATGAAATGGGGTTAGGGTTTTGAGCTTTGGGAGTTTTAATCACCTGTCATTGATGATTTGGGGAAACATGAGTTAGTTAATCATGGGTATGAGTAATGTGATGACAATCCCTAATTTATACCGGATGTTTGGGTAAGTGAAAAATGTTAAAGGTTGTGTAATGGTTGAGCTAAGTGTTTGCCTTAATGAATTAGAGCTTTGATTGTTAAAAATGGATAAATAGAGGATTGTGATCATTTGGCCTATGTGATGTAAGTGTTTCTGAGGATATTGTAGAATGGGTTTCATATGTTGAATGTGGTAAATTTCTTAATTACTAAAAATGATTGGAAGGTTAGGGACTGGATTAATTCTTAAGTAACCAAAGATGACTTTGAGGCTTTACCCTTGTGTGTGTATGTCCATACAGATATTTATTGAGGAATATATGCATTTGGGTAGTTGAGGTTTTGTTATGAAATATGGTTTAGATTTGAAAATATGTTGGATTGGGAGCAATGTATTGAACCGATAAGATACAAATGAGTTTTCTTAAATTGAAAAAGAAGGATTTTCAGGAAAAGATATACTTTTGTATGTATACTTCGGAATATAAAAAGTCATGTTACTTATATCTTATAATGTGGAGCAACCATGATCATAGTTATCTATACGTTATTATTGTTTCGGATAATTTGGGATCTCTACTGGACCATTGCGTTCATCCCATGCTGTTAATAATTTTTCAGGTACACAGCTTGAGGAGTTATTCTGGATTTGAGATCATCCTTATCTGTAGGCCTCAGAGCCATTATCTGTTTGGTAGAATGCCAATGTCATGTATAGAGGGTTAAACCCTTTTGTTTCATTTATCTTTGTAAGCGTCAGGGCAAAACTTCATTTATTTGTAATTCATTTGCATTGTACATATGAACAAGAGGGAGCTTTTATTGTTTCATCACATTAATGGTTATAGTTTCCGCATGTTTCTTCATGGAATTGAATTATAATGATGGTGATGGTAATGCTAATCGGGTAATAAAAGTTAGGGCGTTACACAACCCAATAGTAACTCCACAGATTTCAAAATTAACAGCGTCAATTATGAAATTTTCATATGTATTGTTGGACTCCAATTGAAATGGGAAAATCAGAATAATTTGGTAATAACAATTAGATTCTGAAACAGACTAAATTATAGAGAAAAACGAAAATAACTTAATACCTTCGAACAAAGATTAAACCTCTCCTCTATATTGTAATGGAATTTTCTTTTCTTTTAATTTTTCTTTTCTCCTGATTTCTTGTAAGTTGGATGAGATGCCGGTTATGAACATTAGGTTATCAGCCTGCATTAGGTTATAAGCTAAAACCTGGAAATGAAAAAATGAAACATTTATGCAAAAGTTTCAAAGCACAAGAAAAATATGATAAAATTGTGTCAGTAAAAGAAAAGAAACAATTGCATGCTCATGGTTAGAGTACAAGATTCCATAAATTGTGTACTTGGAAGTTCATTGAGTGCTAATTTTCCTTCATGCTTCAGACCAAATAAAAATGTATAATATATAAAATACTGATAGACCTTAGAGAGAAAGAGAGAGGAAACAATCACCATTAATTTGTGCGAGCAGAAAGATATAATTAGACCTTGAAATAGAATAAGAAAATATATGTAAAAGAGAGAGGAAACAATCACCATTAATTTGCATGCTTGTGGTTAAGATACCACAAATAGTATACTTGAGACCATATAAAAATGTTGTATATATATATATAAAGCAGAACTAAAACTGATGGACTTTGAGGGGAGAGAGAGAGAGAGAGAGAACAATCACCGTAATGAGACTGTGATTTGACTGCAGAGATTCCAATTTTTGACATGTGATATAGAGGCATCAACCACCTTTATTAATTTCTATCTACTTCCAACTACAAAGAATGAACAAAGAGTAAAAAGGGGTAATTAAAAATTATTGATTGGTTGATCTAAAGGATAAAATGACTTACTAAAAGTATAATGTCTTTGTCCAGATTCTTGGACTGATTCTTTAATTTATTTTGCTTGACTCGTTAGTGCATGATTAGGCATTGGAGTCCTTGACCAAAAGCTACACTTATACAAAATATGATTTCAATCAACAAATTTACATCAGAAGCTTATTAATTGTGGACAATTTTCAGCATGACCTGCAACACATAAATTCTTATACAATTTGACTGAAGATGGAAAGAATTCATGGCTAAGGAACAAGATTTATTCAGAAAAATGCTAGCAAAACATGAATGCAATGCTTTCCCAAGAATAATACCTTTGAGAACCAAAGCCTTGCCTAGATTTCCTCGTGGATTTAGCATACCGTCAGAGCCTCAAAGCATCTGGAAACAGAGAGAAAGCTTAGAAAATGGTCCAAAGGCACACCAAGAAGTCAACAAATATATATGTATATATATTTTCTAAAAAAGGAGCACATGTAATTTGAAATATAGTCTTAGACATTAAAGAAAAGAGGTACTATAGTGATTTAATTTGATACTTAGGATGCTGTCATCAATTCAACCTAGGCAATTGTGTGTTTTAGTTTGTATACTGAGTGCTGTGTGAATCGAAGTATATATTATTGAGTCCATTTCAATTCAAGTATATTCATTTAGAAGATTATACCTGAAGGCTGAAGTTCAATTAGAAAGAAAGAAAGAAAGAAAAAAAGACAATGTAAATAAGAAACTTCATGGAGATGAAACAAACAAAAAGGGTTGTGGCGGAAAGAGAAGAAATCATGAACATGGGCACTTGCAGAAATAAGTTACCGATCTCGTGCACAGGGATAATCTCAATCTAGAACATGTGGATGGATGGAATATGGGCAATCTTGTGCCATTCTTGACCGCTTTCCCTTGCACATCTGTCCTATAGATGGGGACAACCACTAATTCTCAAAGATCGTAAATTGGTGAGGCATTGCATTGCTTCCAGGGTGGGAAGATTCATCAGATTCTCACAATCCCAAAGCTCCAAAGAATGCACTTGCAGAAATAAGTTACCGATCTCGTGCACAGGGATAATCTCAATCTAGAACATGTGGATGGATGGAATATGGGCAATCTTGTGCCATTCTTGACCGCTTTCCCTTGCACATCTGTCCTATAGATGGGGACAACCACTAATTCTCAAAGATCGTAAATTGATGAGGCATTGCATTGCTTCCAGGGTGAGAAGATTCATCAGATTCTCACAATCCCAAAGCTCCAAAGAATGAAGGGATGAAAGCCTACCCAGCCATTCTGGTAGAGCTTCCAGTCCATTGAAATGTTCAATTAACAACTCTCTCAAGGCAGTGAGGTGCTGAAGTTGATCGGGCAGATACTTGACCCCTTCCCACCCCCATAAGTTTAGAGATTCCAGGGAGATGAAGGGAGCAGCCTCTCGTCCCAACAACTCGCCAATCTTGGACATTCTAGAATGCTCAATGTCTGAAGGGATGTGAGGCTCAGCAATTCATCTGGGTTGGCCATTATTAAATTCTGACACAGTTCTAACTCTAATGTTACAAGAGTTTGTTGTACCAGCCCCATATGCAAACATGTCAAATTTTCGCAGTGCAAAATAGAAAGCCGCTGAAGAGATGTCAAGCCGCAGGATGCTTCTGTTTCTTTAGTTAAAGACATTATATCAGCGCAATTCTCTATTTTTAAGACCTTCAGAGACGCAAAGTTTTGTAGGTTATTTGCCAAATAACATCGCTGATAAAATGTCCTTATCGTCAGCATTTTTAGGGTTTTGCTGCTTTTTTCCAGCGAATCTACCATTAAAATGTCACTTTTCCAACCACTAACACGAAATATCTCTATACTTGAGAAAGGGTGATATGTCTTTCCAATTTCCCAAAACTGATTCCGCCTATTTCCATCAAAAAACAATTCTTGCAAGGATAACAAATGACCTGGAATTGTAGTCAAGTGAGGGCAAAGCCCAATATATAACCCCTCAAGCCGAGGACAGAACATCACCGTGGCAGGTGATGAATATGATGACAGTGACACCCCAGGCCCAGACCATTCTTCTAGGTTTGGCATATCTCCTAGAACGAGTTCTCTCAGTGCTGGAAATGCAACTGTTGGTGCTCGTGCTGCTGCTCCATTACAGCTACTGGAGACAATGCCTTCATTATCTTGATTAACAACAATACTGTGACCATAGAATTCAGGACCATTTCAGATTATTCAATCCAACCAATTCAACAACCTCAAGATGTGGAAGGTGTCCAAGTGGTGGGATTTCTTCACATCTTGTGCAATTTGATAATTTAATCTTCACCAAATTTTGAAGCAACTGCGCATCTCTACTCATCATCTACAATGCAAAACTTCATCCTTTAAAATTGTCGAGTATTAAACCCTTGAGATTTGAGAAAGGTTTAAGTCCTTCCAACACACTTTCGTGGTTAATGTCAGCTGTTGAAAGACGCAACTCATCAATGTTGGATTCTCTCCTGTCCTCATCCCAGTGAAATCCCAACTCACAATGTTTGGTTTTCCTAAAATATTTGCCTTTTCTGCTTGTTTCATATCTTTCACGTGTTGGAGATTGTAGATCATTAATTTGCCTCTTAGATTGCTTAAGCCTCCCAACTCTTCAATTTTATGCCCCCTATTTTCACCCACAACAAAGAAGTCAACTGCCCCAACTTCATTGGCATAAATTTATCTTTTGTATAATCAATATCGAAATGCCTCAAGCTAACCAACTTATAGAAATTTTTTGAAAGCTTTTTCAAATGGTTAACAGATGGAAGTCTCAATGTTTGCAAATTATAGAGCTTTGTGATAAAATTTGGCAGTTTTTCAAAATATGACCTTGAGAGATCAAGATATCTCAAATGTGTGAACTTACTATTGGAATTTGGCAACTCCTTCACATGGTATAGTTCCAAACTCAAGGCACGCATCCACTCAACTTCTGCAATGTTTTTACGGAGATTTACAATTAAAAATAGTGTCCTTAATTTTCCAACATTTTCTTTTGGAATTTCAAAACTGGTTTCTCCCATTAAACCCAATGGTAGATGTTGAACCTCAGAATGACAATTCACCCCACCAGCAATCAAAGTCAAACAGTTACCCTTTGAGATATCTAGTGCCAGATCAAGCACAAGATCGTGCATTTTGCAACTGATAATATTATTTTACACGTCCAATTTAATGTCTTGAAATACAGAATTGTGCAACAAAATATTAAAACAATCATTACCAACATCTTCCATTTCCAAATTGCTTTCCAAAGAAGGCTGAAGATATCCTTGACCCATCCAAAGCTGAATCAACTTATCCTTTTTAATGTCAAAGTCTTTTGGGAAAATAGAACAATATGCAAAACACTGTTTCAAATATGGTGACGGTAAGTGATCAAAACTTAACCTTAATATCGGTTGAATTCCACTTTTGATTTCAGTTGAGCTCCATATTTTGCTGTTTTCGATTGACACCCATTCATGATCATACTGCTTAGAGTACATTAATCCTCCTATAGTGACTTCATTGCCAATGGTGTTTTCACCATTTTTCTACCAATAGCCACCAAATACGAGGTCTCTATTGGTCCTCCATTTGCAAATGCTCTTTTCCGAAACATGGTCCAACTATCATTTTCTGATAGTTGGTTCAAATGATGAGTGAGAGACAGAGATGTTCTCATGGTAGATACCACATCCATACTAAGGGTTGTAGCTATAATTTTGCTTCCCTTAGAGCCACCTATCCCTAGCAAAGAATTTCTCATGCACTCCCATTTGTCTGGATTTTCATTCCAAACATCGTCTAGTACAAGCAAATACCTTTTTCCATTTAGCTTTTCTCGAAGCTTCCTCACTATTCCTTGAACATTTCGTGTCTCGTATTTATGTCCAGTGAGAGACTCGACCATCTCGTTCAATAGCCTTTCAACTTTGAAATCATCAGAGACACAAATCCACATTCTCTGCTCACCAAAATTCTTCACAACTTTCTCATTGTTGTAAACTAGCTGAGCTAGGGTTGTCTTACCCATCCCACCCATTCATACAATGGCAATGACAGACAAATCATCTACAGTGTTGTCAGAACCAATTAACATGTCTATCACAGTTGATACATCACCATCCCTTCCAACAACTTGTGAATCATCATCTACAAAGGGGTGAGTGATCCTGAAATTGACTTCTCTAGGTTCAACACTAGTACTAGCAGCATTTGAGTCCGATCAGCTGGTCTAAGACCGATGTCATTTGCTTCTTTACAAAGACTGTCTAACAACAAATTGATAATCTTGACTTTATGAGCCATCTTGAGACGAAATGGGAGTGGATTTGAGAGGGAAAACAAGTTGCGTACCTTGTTCTTCTTTGATCGATTTTGTAACTCAATCTTACGACGAAGGGCTTCGAACTTGAATTCATCCAAGACATCGGAGAAGCCACAGAATTGATTTTGTTAAAAAAAAAAAAATTGCTTCACAATGGAGGGAAACAAACAGAAATGCGTAATTGGAAACAATCAGTAGATCAAAGATACGTAAAGAAGATAATTAAAAGTCCGTTTGGAAGGTGGTGAGAAAATGGTAAAAGAATTGACTGTAGTCTCCGTCAACCGGAAAAAAAATAATAATAAAATAAAATAAATTGGTTTTTTGTTTTTTTGGTTTTTATTGAGTTTTTTTAATATTTTAAGTAGTTTTTAAAAATTTTAGATATACTTAAAATATATAATATTTGTAAAAAAAAAATTAAATTCACTAAATATTCAAAATATAAAAATTCAGTACATTTTTCTATTTTTATGTATTTATTAATGTTTAAAATATTTTTTTATAAATATTTTATATGTTAGATACATTTAAGTAAGATATATCTAAAAAAGTTAAAACAATTATTTAAAATTTTAAAATATTCAATAAAAATTTAAAAAAATAAAAAAAAAAACAATTTTTAAAAAATTAAGTCCAAAAAATTAAAACCAAACAAGGTAAATAATTTTAGGGAGAATCACCAAAAAGTAGGGGTGCAACTCGGGCGGGTTCGGTCGGGTTGGGGGTCTGCCCAAGCCCGACCCAAATTGTATTTGGCAGTGCCCAAGCCCGCCCAGGCCCGACCATGAACCCGAACATTGCTGCCCAAGCCCGACCCAAGCTTTGTATTTTGAACTCGGGTTAGCCCGAATTGCCCGAATTGCCCGAGTCCAGAAACCTGTAGGTAGATCTAAGGGTAGACATAAAAAATGATAATCTAATGGTAGAAGACTAACCAAAAAAAATATAAAATAAAAATTAAGACTAACTCTTTTACTTAATAGAAGACTAACCAAAAAAAAAATAAAAAAAAAATTAAGACTATATATATTATATAATTTATATAATATATTAAATTGAATTCGGGTTCGGGTTGCTCGGGTTGGCCATTGGTTCTGCCCAAGCCCGGCCCGAATTGCAATTCGGGCATCAAAAATCTGCCCAAGCCCGTCCAGATTACAAGATATAGTTGCCCAAGCCCTAAAAAAACTCGGGCTGGACTCGGGTTGCTCGGGTTGAGCCCGCCCGAGTTGCACCCCTACCAAAAAGTGGTGTTTAGGTGCAAGTAAAAATAAAAAATAAAAAATAATTTGCGAGTAAAATATAATAAAATAAATAAAAAGTCATCATTTTCGATTGGTTGATTCTACTCTTTTTCTTATAATGTAAGTAATTTTTAAAAATTTCAAATTAACTTTTTTATTGGGACATTTATTTATAAATCACTCTTCACCTACTTATATTTTATTTAAGTTTCGTTTGTTTTGATGTATAATATTTTATAAAACAAAATATCTTTTCTTGTAAATTGATTTGTACCACTTGAAACAAAAATATTTTATTGCCAAAAAGAAAAATTTTGATTCAATAAAGTGTCATTTATAATGTTTTAATAAACTAGATACTTATTTAAAAATGCTAAATGTGTTGAAAAAATAGTAGATGAGAGTCAACTTAATAAAAATTAACTTACGGAA